CAACAGTGTTTATAATCTAAAAAAACTAACAATGAATGAAAATATTTTTCTTATGAATTTTTAAACATTGCTGATTTCTCTCGATAGCAACTTTTTTTCCTTCTACGTTTAAATATTGTTGTTAAAAATTAAAAACATTACTTGCTTGAGATATTGGTGGTGAACTAATTTATCCACGGATGAAGCCCCGCTTTATCCCACCGTAAATTCTATATTTATTTTCACTTTTTATGAGAAAATTAAAGATTTGAAATGAACTCAGTATTTTCATTTCATTTGCATATTTTATTGGCAACAAATATTTTCAATATACTAATATACACCAAAATACAAATTACAATAGAGAGTAATAAATTGAAAATATACAGAAATTGATATTTTGATATTGATGCATGGTCTAGTTAATGTAAATTATTCAATTACATGCAATATCAATAAGTCTGAATAACCAAAATGTCAGGGCATGAAAATGTCTATGTTACACATCAATTTCAGTTCCAAAACCGACACAATGGAATGACTAAATTTATTCTTCCTTTTCGAAAATATAATATGTATTATAGCAAAGTGTCTTTTGCTTTTACTGTCACAGGTCCAGGTTTTCAATTCCGCTGCGTCTAACAATAAGTTAAATAATGAAAGTTTGTAGTTTTATATATTTCCTCAGATTGCATGAATAGAAGTGGAAACGAGTGCGAACTTATCAGACTTTACGTTCTGCATACGTGCACTATGCACAAATGTTGAGGAAAGTGCTATTATTTTAGGCACTCTTTGCAGGAACTTATTATATATTTGTTTTTACACCGGTTGTAATGCATATAAATTATAGTTAAAGTAAAATGAATTCTGAAAGAAAAAACTCCTTAAGTTTGAAGAGTAATTTTATTTTTTTTATCAATCACATATACCATGATGTTTTTGCTGAAGTCGATTATTTAGTTCCATTCTAAATACCTTGTCCTTGTTGAGAATTTTTTGAACAATAAAAAGAATCATTATTTAAAAATTTGATAAATTTGAAGTTTTTTTTTCTCTCCAAGAATGTAGATATTAATATTTTTGCGTCAATCAGTTTGGTAACAATGAATTTAAAAAACTAGTGGTGTATGACATCGTGTCTTCAGGCAAATTGGTTGAACTTCCCGTACTGTAATACAACATTCGAAGAATATTAAATGTATTTAAATATATTATTATAAATACTGTAGCTTTCATTATTCGTGATCGGATGCCCGGTTCTCGCAAATAGCGAGTTTCCATTTTCTGCATTCTTTGCTTCGTATTTCGGAAACGGCTGGACCAACCTTTCCCTAAAACTATCCAGCACTAACACCCATCAGTAGGATTCGATTGCTTTTTTAATCATTTAGATCGGTTGAACGGCACGCCCGAAAACGCCACGAAAAATTGTATCCACACGACACACGCACACACGCACAGACTAACATCTATTTTTTCTGAGGTATACCAAAGTATTCAGAAACCAGTGAAACGTGAAGATATGCAAAAAAAATTATTTTCTATTTTTGATCCTCTAAATTACCCTACGGGAAGTTAATAAGGTTTGATAATAATGAAAAATAAGATTTAATAATAAGTATTGCGAATAAATCGTTCGTCAATAGTATTGTATATAAGTGCATAACAAGAATACTTACTAAATTACAAATACGAATTTACGCTTGTGTAAGTATAATCCTTAGATTAACCTTTTCACTGCAAAAATATTTCCGTAGGAGTGTCGCTGCTGTACGAAACAGCATGTACCATAGTATTGCTGCTGAACGGACCAGACACAGTGATATATCTTTAGACATTTTTATCATTATCAAACATTATCACATGACGTCCGTTAACGACACTTAGCATGTCGTCTATGCGGATGTCGTCTATGGACGACGGGTGGTGAACTAAGATTTCAACATTTCAAATGTTGGTGCAGGAACTACAACTATATTAACGAAAACTATGCTTATAATCATAATAAAATGTGATGTGTATTTTGTGAGGACAATTGCAGTGATTGCACCTCAAGAAAAGGACCCTTAACCCTTTCTCGTCACAATATGTCAAAATAACTTTTGATCATAAAACGGTTTGCAATGGTTCGCTTCTTCACAACAGTTGGCTTTCGCTAAACCAAATGAGCTCTTTTCAATATTTTAGTGGTATTATTTAAATATGTGTTTTTTCTTACATTTATGCCAAATTTGCAATAGACATTTTATATTGCTAATTCCGTTAGTTTGATATATACTTTCAGATTGAAATTATATATACTAACCGATTTGTACAATTTCTTAATGTTCAAAAAATGTAATTAGCAATATCAAAATAAACACATGTTTGAAGATTATTGAATAATCTTTTGATCAGTTATTCTTCTCTTAATACCAATGTAACAATAAGTAGTGATTAAACATCGTTCAATTTAAACCTAACAATCCTTCACAATAAGTTTACATTCTGTTAAACTACGGTGATATTTCTTTACAGATAAATATTTCTATATGAAAAAAATGGTTTGATAGAGTAATAGTAGAAAATATGTTTTTGTCAAATATTTGTCTGTATACGTATTTATAAATATGAAACATATTTTACTTCTAAACTGCGAAATAAAGGGATTTGCAATGTTGCTTATATATTTAGCTTTTTTTAATTCTTAAGTAATTAGTATACAATATGTATACTAATTTTAATGGACGATAATTGATATCATTTTAGAAACGTAAAGTCTTTTTGAACTGTTATCCAAGATATATTAATTTATATCATTTACAGTGTCAGTCTTTTTGAACTGATTCCTGCTAGTTCTTAAGTCTTTGAATTCAACTTTCATTTATATGTCGTTAGTCTTCATAATTTATGTATCTTTATTCTAATGTCAAGTCAAATTCTAAATTACTGTCTAATTCTAATTCAATTGAATTCTCTATAAGTGTCATTAATCTTATGTATTTACTCCTATACATTAGATTAATCGAAACCACAGGGCTGTGTCGTCGAATTTAATACGTCTAATTCTATCTCCTATTTAGATCAGGCAATACAACATCGGTTGCGCGGAAATGTTAGTGGCAGTGCAATTTATGTACTGATAATATTATACTGCTGGACATATTCAATACTATGGTGTGGTAAAGGTCCATTGTGAAGTAATTCCATTTCAGATTAACATGTATGAAATAATATTCAGTAAGAGCTCCAGCAACAATATTGATTTTAAGCGCGGAGTAAATTTACCTATAAATCCTTATGAATATGAGATCAAGCCGCCTATGTCTGTGTATATCATGATAGTAATAAAAAGTATAGGTACTCTACGTTACATCTATTTATTATGGCCTTTCTAAACTACCAAGCGTGATAACGGTTACTTTCGAGATTTTAAGCATTTTCTACGGCGATAATAAATTTGAGCAAGACAAAGGAAGATATTGTTTTCGTTTACTTTTCCGCATCCGTATGTGTCTATCACAACATGAAATTATTACATACAAGACATAAATCAAAAATTCTGTGCTCCAGATGGTGTCTGGAATTGTGTGCTTAGAAAATACAATGTAGAAGCAATAGTAGTTGCTTTAATGCAATTTTTTGTACTTTTACTGTGTAAAAAATAAGTATTATCGAATTTTGCTTAGCAAATTAAATGATAAACACAAAAAAAGATTCCTGAGTGTGCGGCATATGTTTTTCAATGTAGATTTACCGCTGAACACGAATCAAAATCGGCAGACAAAAGGTATAAAAACGAATAATTGAAATAGGTTGAACCGTGTTACGGAAATTGTCGACGAAAATTTGTATTTGCGCACACACACATACACACACATATATCCATTTTTTCTAAGATATGCCAAAATGTTCAGAAACCTCTGAAACGTAAAGATATATAAAAAATTTTAGGAAGTTAATTACTACACATCTTTGCACAAATCGTGTTAATTACAGTTTATTATACCTGGTTATCTACCGTCGTTATTTCATATGTAAGCCAGACATTCTACAGAAATTATAGAATGTCTATATACATATGAGTATCCGCAAATTAAAAAGAAATATTGGTAATATTACTTTTTTAGTAAAAGAGGTTATACATGGACGTAATAGATATATTATGTAATCATTATGATAATTTCATAATATTTTTATTAGCGGATGAACCTAATCTGAAAAGTGTTCAGTAAATAATTGCCACATTTTCTGAGTTCTTTCTTTTTCACTACGAAAGCTGTACAAGCATGTAAAACCTTTTACCCGCGGAACTTTAAGCCCCGCTCTACATTATTTTAAAAATTGCAAACATCTTAAAAAGTTGATATATAATCAACTTCCAACTGGTATTTTCTTGTGTGAATATTGACTTAAACATATTTGCCTCAATTATATTGTTTATTACAAAATTATTAATTTTCAATTGAAAAATTTAACAATTCGTATTTTCTCAAGTAATTTCAAATGTATAGTTTTTCATAAATTCATACATTCCGCAAGATAAATAGAAAACATTTAGCAAAAGCTTAATGAATATAAGGCTAGGGACACGGTATAGGATAGAAAGTATCAATACTTTTTCGAGTCGCTACATGCAGCATACAACACACACATAGCGACACGAAAAAAGTATCGATACTTTCTATTCGATACCGTGTCCCTATATAAGGCACAATTAAAGAAATACAATTCAATTAATGCCCATTTAGTAAATCCAAACCGATAAATCACAATTCATATGAACATAACGTGTATGATTTCTGAATATTAACAAAAACTGAATTTATAAAAAGTTTTGAGCTAAAAATGTATCATAAAACTTTCAGCTCTAAATAAAAACAAAATAAAGTTATACATTAAGATTTCTTAAATCAAGTTTGAAAATATAAATTATGTTTATTTAAATGGAATATTTATTAAAGTATATTAAATTCATAACTACATACCAACATATGTATATCAAAAATCAAGTTTATCTAAAATTAATTAGTCTTCACTGTTTTATCTGCAGCATTCTTTAAAGGAGAAGTTGTTCTAGTTGTATCAAGAGACACAGCTCCACTATCATCACTGCTAACAGTCTTCTGTAATTTCCTATTATTAGTTTTTTTTGGCGTTTTTGTATTGGGGAATGTGGCAGTACGTTTTGGATCAAAATGTGAGTCCAATATCTCTAATAAATCATGTTGTTGATCTTTCCTTGTAATTTGCAATTTGTCCAATTCCTTAATTAGGCCTTGTTTTCCATCTGTTTCATATGTACTTTTTATGGTATTATAATCAGATTTGCCTTCAGCCAATATTGATCTTAAAACATTTATGCGCTGAATATCCCGATAATTCATTTTGCTAGTTGCACTAAATATTGGCTGGAATGAACTACTTCTTTCAGCTACTTTGCGCAGTTCTTTCAGTTCACCTAATTCTACAGAAGTAGGATGAGAATACTGGCGAATTACTTTCTACCATGTTGTCTAATATTACAAGATTTGGATCTCCAGTACCATCTGCTAAGTTCTTTGTTCACCTTGACCAAGATGTTGAGCTATTTCCCAAATAATTTTTGCTCTATTTGATGCATTATCGAATTGTTCTTCGCGATCTAGTAAGACTCTGGATAAAACTTCAAGATTAAAAGACTTCACGGTAGCTGAACATTTCTTTTCGGCTAATGCATGTCCATTTGCAAAAACCCGTAACAATTTCATGAAACTTTCCAAGTAAATGGTGACGTTGAAGAGCTTCTAAGAGCATGTAAGATACCATTTTCTTAGGTTCATGGAATATGAGAATTACACCTGCTCCATCTGACTTTGACTTGACTTCTTCAAGCCAATTCAAAAAATCTATTAACCAAAATTTCTGACTTCGTTCTTATAACCTTATGGTTATATTGCTTCTCAAAACTCTAAAACGGTCATCAGATGTAACACGAACATTATGTCTTCGTTTAACACTTGGGTTTAAATTTGCATATGGCATGATGTTGTATTGGGAAAATTGGCTATTAAAGTGTATGCCGCTATATGGAATATTTCATCTATTAACCTCCGTCCAGTTGTATCCAGTATCCATATCGCAACTGATAAGGCCAGTAGTATTTTCCTGCTGGAAGGCATTCAGGCTTATGCTTTTTGCCTTCTGTAGCTTTCTTACTCTCTGGCTTCACCATGTTGTCCTTACTTTGATCACCTCTGAAACGTTGACAAATATTTTATATGTAAGAAAATAGTCAAACAAGTGAGTTTTTAAAAGTCAATCGTATACTTGTTAAGAGCTTACCCGAATCATTGTTTCAGCAGAAAACATTCACCGATAAATTAATTTTACAATGAGATTTGATTTCTACTTTGTTTGTTTGATAAATGTCAGAATCGAGTTTGTCATTTGTTTTCGGCATCATCGTCTCTAAAACTTTAATATTGTGAAACTAATAAGCATTCAAGCATTATATTAACCAGACATATCAATCATGTTGAGAGTTTTCAAAGCAACCTAGACTAAATTCTGCTTTCGGAAAGCAATACATTTCAAGTTCTCAATCATTCATTGATTTCGCTCTTTTGTTGTCATTTGATGATGCTTTTAGTGGATCGACGGAATTTTATTACTAGTGGTGCGCATGGCATCGTGTCTTAAAAAGGGCAAACTGCTAGAACTTTCCGTACCGTAATTAAAAATTCTAGGAATGAAAATAATCAATAACGTTTTAAATAATTTCAAATAGATTATT